CGCAAGCTACCCTGCCTGGCGGGTGGCTTCGCACTGGGGTGAAGCTTTAATTCTCCTTTGCTGGAGCTAGGAGCCTCTGTAAGAGCAGGTCAGACAGAAAATCGTGTTCACCCCTGTCCTCACTACCAATGGGCAGTGTGAAGGCATGTGCTCTAGTGCAGTGTTCTCAACTATTTTGGCACCTGGCTCAATGCAAACCTTTCCATCTACCCTGCCTGGCGGGTGGCTTCGCACTGGGGTGAAGCTTTAATTCTCCTTTGCTGGAGCTAGGAGCCTCTGTAAGAGCAGGTCAGACAGAAAATCGTGTTCACCCCTGTCCTCACTACCAATGGGCAGTGTGAAGGCATGTGCTCTAGTGCAGTGTTCTCAACTATTTTGGCACCTGGCTCAATGCAAACCTTTCCATGGACTGCCAGCGGCTAATGGAAACTCACAGCTAATTACATAATTAAGCCTGAGCCCTCTTGCTGGTGCTGCAGCTAGGGAGAATGGTTTAATTTAATCAGTAACAAAGGAAATATGAGTTTAAATTATTAAACAAATTAAGCACTTTTACATCTTAGTTTATCAAACTTCATTTTAAATGAAGTAAAATATTAATTAATGTTCAACAGAAAAGGTTTCCATGTTTTCTTTATTTATGGTCGGGGTTGGAAACCTTTTTTGGCCACTGACCCACAGGAAAATCAGTTGGGGACCATCCGGGTTGGAAACCTTTTTTGGCCACTGACCCACAGGAAAATCAGTTGGGGACCACACAAGTGAAAGTAAAAAAAAAAAAAAAAACCTCCAAATCCCTCCTGCCCTCACTGATGTGGCTTCCCCTCCCCCTCCAACAGAACACCTCACTTCTCTGGGGCTCCAGCCCCATTGGAGGAGGGGGAAGGACAGAGATAACTGAAGTTCATGGCTTCCCATAGGCCAGATTTACTCTGCAGGGGTTAAGGAGTTAGTGGATTTTGTGGACCCCCCCAGGTTCTGGGGTGTGGCTAAAATTAGGGGTTCAGTGTGTGGGACAGGGCTGCTAATGAGTGGGATAGGGATGGGGTGTGGGATCTTGGGGGGAGATGGGGTGCAGGAGAGGGTGAGAGTATGAGGTCTAGATGGGAGGTAGAGTACAGAAGCAGGCTGGGAGTAGGGTGCCTGGCTTGGGCGGGGAGGGTGCAGGAGCAGGCTAGGTGCGTGGGGTCTCTGGAAAGGGTGAGGGTGTGGGGTCTGGGAATGAGGAAAAGGGGACACTTATTTGCCTTTGCAATCTGTGTGGCTTCCAGGCACCAAATCCCAGGTGTGGCCTCCTGCTGCTCCCATTGATCAAATTTCAGTTAATGGGAGATGGAGGGAAAGCCCCCAGGCAGCACATCTATGCACTGCTGTTCCCACAGCCAGAGGAGGGGAAGCAATAGTGCACGGAGCCACTTCTGGCTCTGCTTCTTCCCCACAAGGTAGATCTGGCGGGGAAACTTGAGGCTTTCTCCCTCTCCTCCAGAGGGAAGTCAGTGCTGGCGCTCCAACCTCAGGGGGTGGGGGTGAGGCTGGAACACCAGCATGGGCTCCATGCTACAGGGAGTGGGAGGGAGGGAGGAAGGAAGAGTAGGGCTGAGCTTGAGCTGTGAACCACCTGGAAGGTGGCCACGGCCCACTAGTGGTCCACAGACTGCAGTTTGAAAACCACTGCTCCAATGCTTAAGGACATCTGGGCCTGCAGCCCCATCTGCCAGAGCTTGTTGTTTGGCCTCCTTGAACAAGTTGTTTTATTTTTGTATGTCATATATAAAATCAAGAGAACACCCTAGCTATATAATTATATATAAATGCCCTTTTTTGCCTCCCCATTGCTAGCTGGAAAAGTTAATGTTCTTATGGTGCTTTGAGATCATACAATGAAAACACTAGGAAATGTAACTTTCCGTATGGCCATATGATGTAAAGTCTCTGACAATGGAAAGGTGGTTTTAGATTCTCTGCCTTGTCACAATTGACAGGTAGCTCTATGTGCATCTCTGTGGGTTCACTGAGATGCGGGTAGCTGCTGCTCTGCTAAATCACCTGCCAACATTATTGTTTCACAGTCACTCTAGTATTCACTCTAGCTTCCTGTAATGTAGCTAGCTCTGGTACCAGAGTGGTGACAATACCGTCACCACTGTGTGAGCTAGCTGCACAAGTAAGAGAGAACTTGTACAGCTCATGTGCAGTAGCACAGTTTCACTACTCCTATTTAGAGCTAGGCAGGGGAGGAGAGAGGCAAAGTGGGATAGGTCCAACAAAATCTGAAATGTTGGTGAGACTCAAAAAAGTCTCTTCCAAAATAGGCATTTGAATGTAGCTCTCCCACATCCGAGCAAGTGCCTTAACACCGAACTAAAGAAGATAAAAACAAGGAGGCAATAGGAAGGACAGCAGCATCGCAGCTGCCTCTTTTTGCCATTTGCTAAATGGCCACAATTAATCATGTCCAATTTTTATCACTTGTTTTTGTTTGGCTGTAACTACATTTTTCTTTGATGGGGCCCAGTGAGCCACACCTATCTAGACACTGCAATCTGGGCCAGCACATGAGCCAGGAAGCAGGACCAGCATGCAGCAAAGGGACACACTGCGTACAATGCAGCTCTGCCAAAGGGAGTGTCAGAATGGGGCCCTGTTCTTAGGGAAGAAGGGAGCAGCCTCCAGCTCTTCTCCCTGTCACAGACAAGAAGCCTTGTCCAAGCTGAAGGGATCCAGAGGCTTCTATGTCATCCACACATCAGAAATTAACCCCTCTTCCCCAGGCTGGAGCAGGCAGCCACTTGCCATGCTGAGGTGCACGCCCATGGCCTACTAATCTGAAAAAAGTCACCCAGCTCTACCACAGGACCTGACCTAACTAGATTAAAGATAGCTCATGTATATCTGCATGAGTTGCAATGACACACCATGACTGCAATGTATGTGAATCCTGAAAAATAAAAAAGTGAAAACATTCGTATTAAATTATACACACATTACTTCCTTTGTAAAGTGCTTTCAGAGGAACGGTCCTTTGGCATCTCTCCTGTTGGTACCCAATCAACTAAATTAAAGCCTACTCAGATGTGCCTATGTATGTTGAAATCACACTTCCTGATTGCAAGGTAGACATATCCAAAAATAAAGGGAGCACAACATTGACTTAAAGTCAGCTTTCTCACCTAAGTGCAAGAAAAGAGCAACTGAGAATGGGTCCTAATTTCTTTTAGGTCATCCAGTAAAGAATAAAAACCTGATGAGTGACCTATACTAAATATTGAACCATAAAAGAGCCACAGGTCCTAAAAATTCTGGCTTGGAAGGAAAACAGATTATCTTGGTTTGGGTAACAAGCCAACGAGCACAAAGCTGGGAATTTGAAAAGAGGTAACCAGTGATCTTAAGGTGACGTGCACAAGTTCTTGTATTATGCTCTTTTTATTTCCTTTTATGTATTGTTAAAAGCCTGAACTTTTTTGCTTTTGTGTTCTCTTGATATAGTCCCTGCATATTTTACATTAAAACTTCAGGTTCAGTCTATGCTGGATGTTTGTAGGGTGACAGAAAAATATGTTTGTTGATGAAACACATAAAAGATAAGCTATTGAAGGGATTTCTGTTTCATAGAATCACAGAACACTAGAACTGGAAGGGACCTCGAAAGGTCATCAGGTCCAGTCCCCTGCCCTCGCGGCAGGACCAAGCACCATCTAGACCATCCCTGACAGGT